AACAACTAGGAATCTACCAGCCGAACCATACAAGGCTCAGGGGCTCTGGGTTAGAAAAGAAATCGAAAGCAAGACAGCCAGAGACTGGTGGCTCACACCTATAATCCTGGCTTTTCAGGAAGCTGAGATCTCAGAATGGAGGCTAGAGGCCAGCCCAGACAGACAGGTGCCAAGACCCTAATCTCCAATAAACCACTCAAAAAAGTCTGGAAGTAGAGATGTGGTTCAAGTGATAGAGCACCTGCCTTGAGCAAAAAGTTCATGAGTACTGCCCAGGTCCTGAGTTTAAACCCCAGGAGCAGCACAAAAAGAAAGAGAAAAGAGGGGGGAGAGGGAGGGAAGGAGAGAGGGAGGGACCATACCTTCACTTGAGCCTTTTTTGCCGAGATAGGAGTCTCACAGACTTTGCTGCCTGTGCTGACTTCAAGCTGCAGTCCTCAGATCTCAGCCTCCCGGGAAGCCAGGATCATAGGCGTGAGCCACCAGTGCCACTGGATGTACACAATGACACTACTGGTGTGTGTTTGGGGGGAGGGGGGGTCCCTGCCGACACACCGCCATTCCCATGCAGTGGGCACATGCGCAGACCCTCCTCAGGCCCTGCTCACCTCTGGTGGTGTAGCCTCCAATGACGTAAATCTTCCCTTTACACTCACATGCGGAGAACTCAGCCAGAGGGTTTGGTAAGGGTGCCACAAAATTCCAGGCATCCTGCTCCGGACTGTAACACTCCACATTGGATGTGGCCTGCCCACCAATGGCATAGAGCTTGGAATGGACTGCCACGAGTTTGAAGTTAGACCTGAAGGAGAGATGCAAAGTCCGCCAAGTCAGCGTGGCCCATGAAGATGACACTTTCACCCCGGCAGTCAACTGCGGCGGGCACTCAGGTGCACGCCTGTCATCCTAGCAACCCAGAGGCCCAGATCTGAGGATACAGGTTCCCAGCCAGCCTGAGCAGGAAAGTTCTTGAGACTCTTATCTCCCATTAACCAGCAAAAAGCTGGAAGTGCCTGAAGTGGAGCTGTGGCTCAAGTAGTAGAGTGCCAGCCTTGAGTGAAAAAGCTCAGGCACGGCGCCACTGTTGTTCAAAGCCCCAGGAGTGACACCAAAAAAATTTCAAAAGTGCTACCGTGTTTATATTTCAATGTTTTCCTCCAGCCTGTGTTCTCTAAACCCAACCAGCCATTCAGGTTTTTGTTTTTGTTTTTCCTGCCAATGTGGTGGCAGTGGCTGGGGGTGCTTAAATCTAAGCAGGACGACCTCCCTGGGTATGAATCGGGGAAGTGGAGGAGAGGAAGCTTGTAAACAGGCACTTTTACCAACTCTCAATTTGGATTTGCTCCCCAGGGTACACAGGCCATAAACTTTGTAAGATCAATACAAAAACAGAAGAGTTTTGCTTTTTGTTGGTTTTTTTTTTTAAGATTGTATGTGTGTGCGTATGTCCACGCTGGCACACGCGCACACATGCACACACACACATGCTAGTTAGTCCTAAGACTAATTCAGGGTCTAGGTGCTGTGCCTGAGCTTTTTTGTGCTCAACGCTGGTGCTCTACTACTTTAGCCACAGCTCTTCTGGCTTTTGAATGATTAACTGGAGATGAGAGTCTCATGGACTGTTCTTCTGCCTAGGCTGGCTTCAAACCTCAATCCTCAGATCTCAGCCACCTGAGGGGCTAGGAAGACAGGCATGAGCCAGCGGTGCCCGGCTAAGCCCATTTCCCGCGGTGGGAAGGTGGATGTCTCTCAGCATTGCAGGCAGTGACTGAGCTGCGTGTGCCTGCGTGCTTCTTTGATTCCAGACAATAACCCACCCCTCGCTGCATGGCACGGCCTGCACATGGGTCACACATCATTTCAGAATTGTGGCTTCCAGCCGCAGCCTCAGACCTGTATGTAATCCTAGCTACTCCGAAGGCTAAGATCTGAGGATTGCGGTTCAAAGCCAGCCCAGCAGACAAATCTAAGACTCTCCTCTGAAATTAACCAGCAAAAAGCCAGAAGTGGGGGTGTGGCTCAAATGGTAGAGCTCCAGTCTGGAATGAAAAAACCAACGGAGAGTGTCAGGACCTGAGTTCAAGCTCCACTGCTGACACATACACGTGTGTGCATGCACATGCACACGCACGCATGCACACACACATACATAAAGAATCAAGAAGGAAATGCTGCCAAAATGATTTCTTCATACTATGTTCATAACTATAAATAGAAAAACTTTAAATAAATGTGAGGAAAAAATAAATTAAAAAATCAGATAAAATAGCAATTTGAGCTGGGAGCCAAGGGCTCACACCTGTAATTCTACTTCCTCAGGAGGCTGAGATCTGGGGATCAGAGTTTAGAGAGTCTGGGCAGGAAAGTCCATGAGACTCTTATCTCCACTAAAACTACCAGAAAAAACCCAAGAAGCAGAGCTGTGGCTCAAGTGATAGAGCACTAGCCTAGCGCAAAAGAGCTCAGGGACAGCACCCAGGCCCTGAGTTCAAGCCCCAGTATTGGCACCATAAAGGGGTGGGGGGGGGAAGCAACGATTTGATGTTGACATTACTCTTTTTGTGTGTGTATTCTGGTACCAGGATTTGAATTCAGTGCCCCACAGTAGCTTGGTTTGTTTACTAACACTTGAACCACACCTCTAACATGACTTTTTGCTATTTTCAAAATAAGAGTCTGAAAATTCTTCTGCTCAGGTTAGCCTTGAATATTGATCCTTCAGACCTCAACCTCCTGAGTAGCTAGAATTATAGGTATGAATCACTGATGCCCAGCTAAGTTTGACTTTAGTTTTTTTCTTTTTCTTTTAATGGTACTTCGATTTTAACTCAGGGCTTTATGCTTGTTTGGCTGATACTTGTTTAAGAAATTAAAGGCTGTCCTAAAGCAGGGCAGTATATACTTTTATAATCTCAGTCTTCTTCAGGAGTCTGAGGATTATGTGTTTCAAGGCCAGCTTGGGCAATACAAGACTATGTCAAAAAACAAAACAAAACAACGGGGGAGGAGGGTGCTCTGAGCTCCTCATAAGCTAAGCCCTGAGTGATGTATGAGTTCATCCAAATCACTGAACCTTGCCAGGTGCCAGTGGCTCATGCCTGAAATCCTAGTGAATCAGGGAGGGAGTTAAGATCTGAGGATGGTTTAAAACCAGTGGAGGCTGACAATTCCAAGACATTCTTATATCCAGTTGATCAGAAAAAAAAAAGCTGGAAGTGGAGCGATGGCTCAGGTGGTGGAGCACCAGCCTTGAATGAAAGAGCTTCCTCCCCCCGATAGTGGGGGGAGGGGACCTTTCGAAGGCTCTCCTGGCCAGGAAATGGGGAATAGCTGTTATTATCCTCACCATTACACCCTAAAAATTAAAATTCTTTTTTTTTCTTTTATTCTTTCAGTTCTGTGGCTTGAACTCAGGGCCTGGACACTCCTGAGCTTTTTCACTCAAGGCTGGCACTCTACCATTTGAACCACACCTCTACTTCCAACCTTTAGTTGGTTGACTGGAGATAAAGTCTCAGACTTTCCAGTCCTGGCTGGCTTTGAACCCCAATCATCAGATCTCAGCCCCCTGAGTAGTTAAATGGCAGGCGTGGGCCATCAGCTTCTTTTAAGGTTTCTTTTCCAGAAACCACATCATCTTCCTCCCCCTGGGAGAGGAGGCGGAGAAGCTCCGGCAGGGAAATCACTCAGCCCGCGGCCCTCCCCAGCAAACGCCTAGCATCCTGGGAAAGAGGGAGGGAGGGGCGGGAATTCGGCCTGGAAGTTTGGGCCCCAGACAAGAAACAAGGAAGTTGTCATTCTGGCTCCAGGACCGGGGCAAGGAGTCTCCCCAGATCATTCAAGGGGCAACAGCGAGCCGGACAGCGCCCGGGCCCCGAGTTCAAGGCCGAAGACCGGCGCGCCACCTGCACGCACCCCACCCCCGCACGCACATCCACACCCCCGCACGCACATCCACACCCCCTCACGCACATCCACACCCCCGCACGCATACCCACCACCCGCCCCCCCCCCCGGCCCTGGAACCTCACCTCTTCTGGTTCATGGAGGCCACCTGCAGCCACTCGTTGGCGCCGGGGTTGTAGGAGTGCGCAGCGGCGATCTCCTGGCTGGAGGCCCGGTAGCCCCCGACGATAAAGAGGTAGTTGTGCAGGGCAGCGGCACCGTAGCCCCGGACGTTCTCCAGGTCCGGGGGCAGATTGCTGGCCAGGGGGAACCAGCGCTCGGTCGTCTCCTCGTACCTGAGCATGGACGGGGGCTCGCCCTGGTAGGGGTGCGGGGCCAGGGGCCCCCCCAAGAAGTCCCCCAAGGCCACCAGGACGGGGGTCCCCGCCATCCGGGCTTCCAGCAGCTGCTGCTTCAGGCCGACGTCCCCCGGGGCGGGCGCGGGAGGGGCCAGGAGGGGAAACTGAGGCTGGCACAGCACCTGGTGGAAGTGGACGGCCATGAAGGCCAGGCAGGCGTCCCGCAGGTCGGGCAGGCCGTAGACCAGGGCCAGGCGGTAGAGCTCCAGGCAGTTGGAGAGGCGCACGTGGGAGAGCAGGCGCTGCAGCAGGGGGGTGACCTGCA